AGCAGCTTTCGCTGGCTCCCAGGGGCCTCTCCATGGGGAGGAGGGGGCGTCCTCACCTGTGCACTGTCCTCCCTTATCCTGGGTCACAGGTGGGGCTTCTCCCAGGCAGGAAATTCCCATCTCACCAGGGATCCATTCCTTTTCTGGAAGATTCTACCTTGCCTTTGACTTGGGGTCCAAGTCATTCTCTGCAGTTCTTGGCTAAAAAGCACGGCCTTGGAAATCAAGATTTTTCCAATTTCCAGGTGACGCAAAGACGCTATGAGACCGTCCCGTGGTCCCCCAGGGTTCTGTGCTAAGCAATGACCAGCCTCCCTCTGGGCCTGGAGAGGCAAGGGGTCCTTTTAGAAGCAAAGGGGGCAGAGAGCTGGAGACTTGTGAACTTCAAATGGAAAAGACTTTATTTTCTTTTTCTTGGCTTCAGTGGGAATTTGGGTCTGGCGTGTCAAAACAGGAAGGCAAAACCGGGGCCGGTAGATGCCAAAGAAAGAGCAGCCAATTTCACCTTAGGGTAGGGAAGTCCCTTATAGGAGTGCCAAGGATGGCGAGGTGGTGTCTGGTCAGAGGTCAGGGGACCATGGATCAGGTAGACCCATGACCCACAGACCCTCCCAGCTGGGGACCTGAATGCACAGCCCGGCCTCTTTCTGGTCAGTCTCCCCATTTCTGCCTCTGTGACTGGGACAACGTCCTTTCCATTGGAGACATCCCCAATGGGGAGGAGAGTCTGGGCCTGTGTTCTCCCACAAAATGGATGTCCGTGGCTATTTTCTCTCTTGAGACTGATAGTCATTTCCTGACCCAGCTGGAGAATATGGTGCTCTTGATAAGACACAGTGGGTGAGGTGTGAGAAATGTCTTAGTGCTTATCTGTTCAGTACCCAAAGTCAGCAAGGACTTGGGAATAAAAACAACCCATTATCATCCTGAAAGGTTCCGTGCAGAACCCCCCACCATCACCACTACCACCCACCCTTGATGGCTTCCAAGGCCCCAGCTCCGTGGGGCTGACAGAAGTGCTATCAAATGAACGCTGGCATTTGTCAGCAGCCTGTGCTGATCATTTTCCATCCCCTTCCACTTCCATTGGGCCTTCCTTCCAAGACTTGGACACCCAGCAAGTAGATTTCACTCCTGGAAGTTTCCTGTCCCGGGAGTGCTCTGGCTAACTGCAGCCATGTCACGAGACAGGCGTGGGTCTGCGGCGAGGGTCGTGTGGGCACAGGAGGATTCTGGAATTGGGGCAAGCCTTTGTGTGTGACTGCAAAATACTTAGGGGGAGACCTAATTCAAGGTAATTGGTGTTGGGATGTAACTGGCTCCATTTAGCACTACCTCAGAAGTGATGTAGCATAAACATCAGGGGGATGGGGTTTAGGATTCCCCAAGATTCACCGTGTATGTCATATTTCAAATGTCAAGTTTCAAAACGCCAAGTATCACAGATGCTGAACCAAAGTCTGATCTGTCTTTGGAGCTATTTTGTGATTGACACAAAGATTGGGTGTTCTCATCCTAAACATTGATTCTTCTTGGTTAGGAAGACACCAGGAAGCAGGAGGGAAAATGGACTTGGATCTTACTAAACCTTTTGACATTCTCTAGAAGTCGCTCTTTTGAATCAATCCCTGATAGTGGTTACAAATTCCTCATCTGTCTTTTTCCCTTAAAGTTGAGTGCCAGGGGAAATAATTCTAGCATTTAGAGTTTAATGGCTGTTTAGAAACTGAAAGAAAAGAAGACTGTGTGTGTGCTCTGTGATTCAAGTGACTTTGCGAGAAAAAAGGATGAATGAATGGTTCGCCTCCTGTATCTGGGAGATGGGAAGCTTGAGTCTACCTCATTGTTATTCTGTACTCACCCCAAGGTTGATTCATTGTGGATGTCATGTTCCAGATTCGTTAAACTGGGAGATGGAACAGATTTTGCACATTTTTTAAAAGATTTATTTATGTGTAGAAGTACTGGGGTATAGGCCAGAGGTGTGGGATTGGCGGGGGTGAGAGGTTCACCAGAGACAGAGTGGGGAGCAGAACAGGCGGATTGACTGAAATATACTGCTGAGGGGAGCAGTGGGCATGAGAGGAAAGGTCTGCTGTGCCATGTGGGTCAGCTCCCTGGCCAGATCAAACTCAGCCGTAGTGGTGAAAGAGCTGAGACTAAACCCCTACGCCACCAGGGAGATCTAGATTTTGCACATTTCTGAAGAAATGGCAGGTGTGGGGAAAGGCAGCCTATAGCGGTGGCGAGTTGAGACTGGGAAGCATTCATTCATTTGACAAGGCTTCTCTGGGCTGAGGGGGGCCTCTTTTCCTCTCTCCTAAGTTTTTTGGTTAACCATGGCTGAGTGTCATAGAAATCACAGAATTGTCTTTACAACCCAAGGAGATGGACACTCATGTGGGATGTTGACCACAGATGATTGAAGCAAGAAGCAAGTTCTGGGGCTGTAAGAGCCGTAAATATTGCGAACCCACACCCTCCGGTGGAGCTCATGACTTGCTTCTCTCAAAGGGGCCAAGCGGCCAGGGATAGTGACTGCTCTCCAGTCCTTATTCTTCCTCACCCAGGAATCTCTGCTACATCCTGTTGCCACAATGGCTTGGCCCCGGCCCCCCTTGTAAAATGACAACCTCCTTTGCAGCTGAATAGAGCCCGAGTCTTCAGGGGACTATCTAGACTAGAAGGGCCAGGATATATGCAGGGGCTGCTCTCCTGGGGTATGACTGTGTGGGTTTGCCATGCTGCTGGCCACCTTGTCTGCCACACGCCAGCCCAGGCCCGGATTGGCATTGGAAAGCCTTTTTTTAAGGGGTGGAAGTGGAGGTAACAATAATTGCTTAATTTACTTTGCAATTACAGAGTAAATCCACCCATAAAGGATAATCACTGTTAAAACGGTGGTGTATTTCCTGCAAGTCATTGATGGAGGCTTGTTCTTAAAGAATCATGGGAGCCGCACTTAAATAGCTCTCGGTCCCATTGTTCTCTCGCTGCCTTGTGTCACGACCATTTCTCCATGTCATGAAAGATGCCTTGAAAACATTTCGCCATAGGTGGCTATCATTCCATCCTACCCACGTGCCATGGTTTATTAAATCATGTCTCCAGCATTAGACATTTAGATGTTTTTGCTCTTGCACAAGTTTGCCAATGATACAGCCAACTTTACATAGTTGGTCTACAGCTCACTGTTGGTTTTTTAAAAATTTCTTAAAAATTGTGGTAAAATACACTTAGCATAAAAGTTACCATTTTAACCATCTTAAGTTAAAGGCACTTGATTAACTGCATTGACACTTGTGAACCACCACCACCATCCACCCCCGAACACTGTCATCTTCCCCAACTGAAACAGGACCCCCCACCCCCCTCCATCCTCACCTCTGTGAATCTGACTGTGCGTGCCCCTCTTGCAAGGGGAGTCCTCCCGTGTTTGTCACGTGACTGGCTTATTGCCCCAGCGTGTGTCTTCAAGGTTCGTTCATGCCATGGTGTGTCAGAATTCTGCTCCTTTCTAAGGCTCAGTGGTGTTCTGTTTGTGTGTGTTGTGCTCACACTTCTGTGTATCCGTCCATCCCTCGGTGGGCACTCGGTTGCTTCCACCTTTTGAGGATTGTGTGTCGTTTGGCTGTGCACATGGGCATACAAAGTGTCTTTTGAGTCCTTATTGCCAATTTGTTCCCAAAGGGTCGCCAGGGTTTTGGCCACCATTAGTGTGGGAGGCCCTTATCTCACCACCTTTATCAATGTGGATATTGTCGTTTCCCACCCCCCGCCCCCCCCCAAAAAAAAAAAATCTGTGCCAGTGAGACAATGTGCTATGTTGTGTTTCCTATTAGGGTGTGGAATATTTTTTTTTAAAGATTTATTTATTTATTTATTTATTTATTTATACATGCACTGGGTACAGTCAGAAGCGCGGGAGGGTGAGAGAATTCACCAGATCCAGAGCAGGGAGCAGAGCAGGCAGAAGGACTGAAGTACACTGCTGAGGGGAGCAGCGGGTGGCAGGAGAGGTCTGCGCGCCATGTGGGACCCTCCTTCGGTGGCCGGGGAGCAGCTGGGGATCGAACCGGCGCTGCAGAGGCTGCGGGCAGCTTCGCAACCCAGCGCTCAACCGCTGCGCCACCGGGGAGGCCCAGGGTGTGGAATGTTTTTCACTTCATTATCTGTGTGGGCTTTTGCTGTGAGTGATTGTTTCCCTGGGCTGCTCCAAGTGCAATTCTTTGGGCTATACCAGTTGGACAGATTTTGTTTTCTTTCCTAACGTTTGAGACAAATCACAATACAGGGGAAAGAATTTCTTTTTGACTGTGAATCTTCATGATGCTTATTAGCACAGACCCCTTGAGCTCCAAATCATTTCCCCTTGCCCTTTGACCTGTGCACCTCCACTTTTCTGCAGATGGTGCATCATCTCATGTTTTGGAGGTGAGTGGGTAGCGGGCTAGTTGTTGAAAGTGGTTCAGGGAGGATGGTAAGCGTTATAGATTCTGAGGTTTGCAGGTCTTTAAAGGTTACCTGAGCACTGCTGAGTGTTTGGCATGCCCACTTAGGAGCCATGCGTTCTAGTGGGGAAGGCATAGACCTCATAGCTCCTTAAATTGATTCAAAGACCCCCACCCTTACCATCATCAGAGACCAGCGGTTTCTGGGGACCCCTGTGGTTAAAAGTTACGGGAGGGTAGATGAGATGATCTTTCAGTTTTTTAATCAAATTTATAGCTGGTGTTGCATTTGATACCTACCCTGTCCTGGAAGGCAGGCAGGGAAGATGTCATTTCTGGTCTCAGAAAACAGAGATTCTTAGAGCTTCAGAGACTTGCTCAAGGTCACACAACACAGTGACTGAGGACAAGGGGCCGGACCCTTTCCTTGACGGGGAACTGCTTTGTAGACATTGGCCTGGTACGCTTCTCACCACCCGCATGTGCCCAGCACCCTGTCTGGCACTGAGGAGTGGCCTATGCATCTCACGTTTCCCCCTCGCCCCCCAGGTACGTGGTCATCTCCCGGGAAGAAAGGGAACAGAACCTGCTGGCGTTCCAGCACAGCGAGCGCATCTACTTCCGGGCATGCCGGGACATCCGGCCTGGGGAGCGGCTGCGGGTCTGGTACAGCGAGGACTATATGAAGCGCCTGCACAGCATGTCCCAGGAAACCATTCACCGCAACCTGGCCAGAGGTGAGTGCCCACACTCCCAGGGAGGGCCATGCCCACCACCCAGCCCCTTGGGAGGGCAGACATGCCTTTCTAGGAGCTTCCTAAGAAAACCCATGGGAATTAGAGCACACCAGCAACAGGGAGCCCCAGAGGGACACCAGAGGCCACACAGTCTAGGTCTGAACTGCAGGCCTGGGCTGGGTTATGACCACCTCAGGGGGTTGCCCTCCCCATGAAGTGGTTTCAGAAACCCTCATTCCAGGCCATTCAGAGTGCTGGGGAGAGAGGCAAGCTCCCAAGGCTCAGCACATAAGCTTCAGCATCAGTCCTCTTTCTCTCTGCCCCCAAGAAAGCAGCAATCATGGGTGACATTTCAGTACTTCTGTGTGCTAAGCAGGTGTCCCTTGGTGCCCCATGTAGTTGTCACAACAGTAGCACCTACCCCTTAAGTGAGGTGAAAATAGAGGAGTAATTCACAGAGCAAGCGCAGGACAAAGACTGCCATGGCCATTGTGGGCCCTGGTTGTAACGTTAATACTGGTGATCCCATGTGGATTACTGTCCCCATCTGACACACGTGGAAACTGAGCATCAGATAAACACAGTGAGTTTGCCAGCTCACATGGCTGGGAAGGACAGAGCTAGATTTGAACGTACATCTGTCTGGCCCCAGGGTCTAAGCTCTCTCTAAGCTACAATGGTTACAGCCCCCAGACAATACTGGTCTCTTCTCTGCTTCGTGCCGGTATCATTCTTGCTAGTCCTAATGATATGATGTGAAAGAATCATTTCTGTTAGGAGAAGGTTGGGGGGAGGCATGAAGGTGACCTGGGGGGTGGCTGTGCATGCAGGCTCAGCCATTTGAAAGTGATTCAGATTACTCCCAGCCCCTAGTCTTTTGCCTCAAACTCCATCCTCAGCCTCGCCAGGGCAAACTGGTTAGTCCAGACTCTTCTTTCAGTGGGAACTTCCTTGCATTAAAACCGTATATGGAAAGACCCAGAGTTCATTAGGTCCCAGCAGCCAGAGCTATACCCAGACCCACCAACCTATTTGTTGGAAATAAGTCTACATTTGGAATATGAGTGGAGAAGATGAAGAGGGGCTGGGAGTGACCCGATGAAATTAAACTATGTTTAAAAACAAAACAGAACAAAGCAAATCGTGGACACGGAGTGCACCACTGCTGCCTGACTTGGTAAAAGGTGTCTGGTGATGGGCTGAGAAGTGGGAGGAGACCTAATAGACATGCTCATCTCTTGTCTCTCCAGATTTGGGGGGTTGGCCACATGCTGGTTTCACGTGTTGTCCCTGATAAGCTTACAATGATTTCCACTTGACTTCTGGAGGTGCTTCATGTAAAAGTATCTGACACATAGTAGGTATTCAATATATCTGTGTTGAATGGATAAAAGAAGAAATGAATGAAGACAGCCCAGAAGCCACCCAAAGAATCATAGCACCAGAAGAAAAGCAAAGCAAGAGAAGTCATGTGTGAGGACACGTGTGTGAATTCTTCTGACAGAAAGTCCCTTCCCCACCCCAGTCTTCTCCAAAGCACCATGAGCTGCATCACCCTTAGAGAGCCCCGAGACCTAAGGGGAATGCTCAGAGAGGGAGTGAGCTTTCGGGAATGATTCCAAGGAGGCGTGGCAGACAGACTTGAAAGGATTGACGCCAAGAGGTGTGAAGATGCAGGAGGAAGGAAAGTCTGCTCCTGGCCAGGCTGAGCAGCAGGAAACAGGAAGGAAACTGACAGCTACCATGGGTGAAGCCAGAATGGTGGGCGGACTTGATCCCAAAGCCCTTGGGAGCAGTCCTGGAGCTCAGTGGCCTTCAGAGGTGTATCTCTGTAGCCTGTAGCTTTGGCAGGCGCTACAAGGTTAGTGGTGTCTTGGATTGGTGTGCCAGCTCTGCTTTGGAAGGGAGACCCCTGTGCTCAGTCACTTTTGGTTTTACATGGAAGGAGGTTTCTTTGTAGTTGGAGTCTGGAGCCCTGATGACGAAGCATGAATTATTAGTCCCTAATTAGGTAGGGGCCTCAGTTGAAGCTCAGGACTGCTTCCTGAAGAGGATATAAATGGTTCCTTTGTGGTTACCTTTTAGGAACAGGACACATCTAATGCATGCATTCAGATCATTTACGTTATTTGATCTACTTTGAGTCATTAATTTACTTTGTGGTATTTCCCCCATATTTTATGAAGGCTTTGGGACCAATTTCATCATGATGCTGAGTTCTTTTGGGGCCTCTAGATTTTTGTGGAAACCTTGAATCCAAAGAGGTCTCATGCTGGTCCTAGGAAATTTGAGTGACCTTGTCTAAGCAGAGAGGCATGAGGAATCCCTGGCGACATGTGACCTTGACTTTCCAACTTCCTTCACTGTGAGCTGCTTCTTCGGTCTTTGAGAAAATGAAAGGGTGGCTCTTGATTTTGAGAAATTCTGAACAGCCGATATGATCTGTCAAAGAACATGTTGCATTTTTGTTAAAAGTTCTCCGTACCTCCACCCTCTCTGCCGCCACCTACTACAAATACACAGGCTGCAGGGAGTCACCTGAGTCCCATGAGCCCGGAAGATAGGTTATTGCTTAAACATTCATCTGAGGACAGAAGAGGGGCATCTTGTATAGGGCATCTGCCCTTTGCACTGTTACCTGTAGGAAGCCTGGAGTGATCCACAGACCAGGGCCAGCACCCTGTGCCAGCTGTGCGAAGCCAGGCTTAGTCACAGTGTGCAACATCTGGATCACACATGGACATAACTTGGCCTTCACCCAGAGGCTGCTCACAAACGCAGCCTTCAGAAGTCCGATCACAACATACATCCAGGTCAAGTCATTGTACACAGTCACATCTCCCTGGCCCCCACCCCTGAGCTCAGAAGATTCTTTGAGACTTTTGAGCTCCACAGCCTGCTATCATGAACTTCTGAGGGTCCCTCTTAGCTTCTATACCCCCAAGACAACATCCACACTTCTGTAGCAGTTTATCAGACTGTGTCAATGGTTTTTAAGACTCAGGCAAAATGATTTATTGTGGGGGATCTCACCAAGGCCTCTGAAGTCACTTATGATAGAAAAAAAAATTTAAGTCCTCTGAATGGCCAGGTAAGGAAGCAGCTCTGTGTGGACATTGCTTTGGGTCTGCGTGGTGTCTGCTGTGTAGCTTGTTGGGGGTCGCCATCTTGGCGTTGCCAGCACTGTAGGTATTCATCTTCCCTGTTCTGGCCTTGGTTGTCAGTGAGATTCAGGTCATGCATCCGCACACACTCCCAGTCTCCAAAAAACCGGGAGCAAGGACAGTCGCTGTGGGATGGACTTCGTTCGGATGGGCTTCTCCAGAGAGTCCGTGTCTCCCGTGTACCTTTTACCAAGTCGAAGCAGCCATCTTCTCACTGCTCGGCCCACAGGGGAAGCCGGGGGTGGGGAGTCCACACTCGCTTCGCTCTGTTTGATGGGTGGGGCGCCTTCTTCTCGGGTCAAAGGATGGCATGTCCCTTTGAAAGAACTTGCAACCACCCTTCCCTATAGCCTCTCTCAACCTCTAAACATAGAGTTTATTTCCATAAGGCTCCATTGAAATGGTCTCTTTAAAAAAGAGTTCTTCCCTCTCTGCCCGGTTCTATGACTCTAGACCCCCGTGACAGAGCGATCCACGGCCAGACCCAGAGGGATGTGTTGAGCGACTTCCTAGCTGGAGGACTGCTGTGTTTTCTGTTGGTGTCTCCACTTTGGGGCGTTTCCCCACTTCCTCACACCCTGGTTTTCCTTCCTAGGAGAGAAGAGGTTGCAGAGGGAGAAGTGTGAGCAGGCTCTGGATAACCCAGAAGACCTGAGGGGTCCCATTCAGCTCCCCGTGTTGAGACAGGGCAAAAGTCCTTACAAGCGTGGCTTTGACGAGGGGGACGTGCACCCCCAGGCAAAGAAGAAGAAAATAGACCTCATTTTCAAGGATGTGCTGGAGGCCTCGTTGGAATCGGCCAAGGTAGAAGCCCACCAGCTGGCACTCAGCACCTCCCTGGTCATCAGGAAAGTCCCCAAGTATCAGGACGACGCCTACGGCCGGTGCGCCATGGCCGTGTCTCACGGCGTGCAGAATGTCAGCCGGACCCAGGGGGAAGGGGACTGGAAGATCCCCCAAGGGGCTTCCAAGGAGCCAGGCCCGCTGGAGGATGAGGAAGAGGAGCCTTCATCCTTCAAGGCCGACAGTCCCGCCGAGGCCTCCCTTGCATCGGACCCTCACGAGCTTCCCACCACCTCCTTTTGCCCTAACTGTATTCGCCTAAAGAAGAAGGTCCGAGAACTGCAGGCAGAACTAGACATGCTTAAGTCTGGGAAGTTGCCTGAGCCCCCCGTATTGCCAGCACAGGTACTGGAGCTCCCAGAGTTCTCAGACCCCGCAGGTAAGTTGGTGTGGATGAGATTGTGGTCGGAGGGAAGAGACGCAGCGGGCAGCGTGGAGGGTGGCCTGCCCCACACCTTCAGGGAGCTGAGCAGCGGCCTGGGACAGGCCCTCTGCGGCTGGGCCGGGATGCTCACATCTGCTCCTTGTATCCTTGTCAATAAAGGAAGTTCCGCTGCAGGAGGGGTGTGTGCTGTCTTCTTGACCGTTGCCTTTCTCTGGTGGTCCTGGCGGTGTCTTACCCCAAAGCCCAACGTCTAAAATCAGTCTTTCTCTCTCCCCATACCAAACAGGGTGTCTGCAGGGGCTAGCTCTCCCGGTCTTCCGAAACTTGCTGTAGGCACACAGCCCCGTTCTTCTCTTCCCGGATTGCTGTCTCTGCCGCACACATGGTCCTCTCTTCCCCTGCCTGTTTTAGAAGGATGGGGGTCCAGGGTGTTGAGCTGCCTCCCTTTGACCTTGTCTGTTGGCTACCAGCATCTTTTAGAGTTGGTTGACAAGTAGGAAGGCTTTTCAGTCCACATCTGCAGCCGAGTTATTTACATAGCACTTGCTATTTTAACCACTTCCCTTAGCTCAGAATGATGTGTCTGTTATTTAAAGCATGCATCTTAACTAAACTGCGTTTTGATCCTGAAGTCACTTGCCCGCATCTGAGGACAGCACACCTCCCTCCCTGAGGTGTCTGTCCTACGCTGGTGGCGGGACACACAAGCCCCACGTCCTCGCTGTGCGATTTGGGAATGTTCAGTGCGCTTTGGTCCTCCACCAGACATGCTCTCCTAGTTGTGCTGTTGGGTTGAAAATTTAAATTCCTCCAGCCCCCACTAACTAGTGCAGGATGAAGACAGGCAGCCTGGAGCATGGCGGCCACCCTGGGTAGTCCACCAGGAGGATAAGCATGAGTGGATGACCAGAGTGGTGCTAAAGAAATTCTAGGCTGTCACAGGAATCGGCTTCTGTTTTACGTAGTGTGGCACCTGCTCTTGGGGCAGCGTTAACCGCTCAGTTTGGAGAATCCTGTGATTTCTCCACCAGGCGTACATGTGTCTTTCCCATTTGTCTTCCAGCCTCCGAGAGCATGGTCTCCGGCCCTGCCATCATGGAGGACGATGACCAGGAGGTGGACTCGGCGGACGAATCTGTCTCCAACGACATGATGACAGCCACTGACGAGCCCTCCAAGATGTCGTCTGCCACCGGCCGCCGGATCCGGCGCTTTAAGCAGGAGTGGCTGAAGAAGTTCTGGTTCCTGCGGTACTCCCCGACCCTGAACGAGATGTGGTGCCACGTGTGCCGCCAGTACACCGTGCAGTCCTCCCGCACCTCGGCCTTCATCATCGGCTCCAAGCAGTTCAAGATCCACACCATCAAGCTGCACAGCCAGAGTAACCTGCACAAGAAGTGCCTGCAGCTGTACAAGCTCCGCATGCACCCTGAGAAGACGGAGGAGATGTGCCGCAACATGACCCTGCTCTTCAACACCGCCTACCACCTGGCCCTGGAGGGCAGGCCCTACCTGGACTTCCGGCCCCTGGCTGAGCTTCTGAGGAAATGCGAGCTCAAGGTGGTGGACCAGTACATGAACGAGGGGGACTGCCAGATCCTCATCCACCACATCGCCCGGGCGCTGCGGGAGGACCTGGTGGAGCGCATCCGCCAGTCGCCTTGCCTCAGCATCATCCTCGACGGGCAGAGCGACGACCTGTTGGCCGACACGGTGGCCGTCTACGTCCAGTACACCAGCAGCGACGGCCCCCCAGCCACAGAGTTCCTGTCCCTGCAGGAACTGGGCTTCTCCAGCACCGAGAGCTATCTGCAGGCCCTGGACCGCGCCTTTTCCGCCTTGGGCATCCGACTGCAGGATGAAAAGCCGACCGTGGGCCTGGGCATAGACGGGGCCAACGTCACAGCCAGCCTGCGGGCCAGCATGTTCATGACCATCCGCAAGACGCTGCCCTGGCTGCTGTGCCTGCCTTTCATGGTGCACCGGCCCCACCTGGAGATCCTGGACGCCATCAGCGGGAAGGAGCTCCCGTGCCTGGAGGAGCTGGAGAACAACCTGAAGCAGCTGCTGAGCTTCTACCGCTACTCGCCACGCCTCATGTGCGAACTGCGGTCCACGGCGTCCACCCTCTGCGAGGAGACAGAGTTCCTGGGGGACATCCGGGCCGTGAGGTGGATCATCGGCGAACAGAACGTCCTTAACGCCCTCATCAAGGACTACCTGGAGGTGGTGGCCCACCTCAAGGACGTCAGCAGCCAGACCCAGCGGGCGGACGCCTCGGCCATCGCCCTGGCCCTGCTGCAGTTCCTCATGGACTACCAGTCCATCAAGCTCATTTACTTCCTCCTGGACGTGATCGCCGTGCTCTCTCGCCTGGCCTATGTCTTCCAGGGCGAGTACCTCCTGGTGTCCCAGGTGGATGACAAGATCGAGGAAGCCATTCAGGAGATCAGCCGGCTGGCCGATTCCCCGGGGGAGTACCTGCAGGAATTCGAGGAGAATTTCCGAGAGAGCTTCAATGGCATCGCCATGAAGAACCTCAGGGTGGCTGAAGCCAAGTTCCAGTCCATCAGGGAGAAGATATGCCAGAAGACCCAAGTGATCCTGGCTCAGAGGTTCGATTCCCGCAGCCGGATCTTTGTGAAGGCCTGCCAGGTGTTCGACCTGGCCTCCTGGCCCAGAAACAGCGAGGAGCTCATGAGCTATGGCAAAGAGGATATGGTTCAGATCTTTGACCACCTGGAGGCCATCCCCACCTTTTCCCGGGACATCTGCCGGGAAGGGCTGGATCCCAGGGGGAGTCTGTTGATGGAGTGGCGGGAACTCAAGGCTGATTACTATACCAAAAATGGCTTCAAAGACCTGATCGGCCATATTTGCAAGTACAAACAGAGGTTTCCGCTCTTGAACAAGATCATCCAGGTCCTTAAAGTCCTCCCCACGTCCACCGCTTGCTGCGAGAAAGGTCGCAATGCCCTGCAGCGAGTTCGAAAGAACCACCGCTCCCGGCTGACCCTGGAGCAGCTCAGCGACCTGCTGACCATCGCTGTCAACGGACCACCGATCGCCAGCTTCGATGCCAAGCGAGCTCTGGACAGCTGGTTTGAGGAGAAGTCTGGCAACAGCTACACGCTGTCCGCCGAGGTCCTCAGCAGGATGTCGGCGCTGGAGCAAAAGCCGGTGCTGCAGACCGTGGACCATGGGTCAGAGTTTTACCCAGACATCTAGGGAGCCGGCGTTCAGAGTTCACTAAGCTGTTGAATATTTTTTTAATCTATACTCATAAGCTTTGATATATTATATAAATATATATTATATTATATATATATATATATATATAAACCCACACTGAAAAATTTTTAAAAGCCAAGGTGACACGTCCACCAGAAGCTACTGGGAGCTTTCGGAAAGGAATAATGTCGGAAACTGACTCTTGTCTAACAAAATTTGGCAGCTGCGCCATATGTGGCAACTCATTTCCACTCACAGAAGCATGTGCTGGGCCACACGTGTTCCCACCTAACAGTCAACCAACAGCATAAGCTAAAATGACGGGTCTCTGTCATCACCTTTAGGTAGCTCTTTTGGTTCATGTTTTCCTTTGGGGGGCTGTGGGGTGGGTTTATGATCTTACCTTTCATTTCTCGTTTGGTTCTGTGAGGGGGTTTCTGGGCCTCCCTGCTGTTATGTGCGTGTCGGTGCTCTGAGTCCGGTCTCTGATTTCGAGTCCGATCTCTGCTTTCGATGGGGTAGGTCGTGTCTCTGGCTCGCCGTGTTTGATTTTGTCCTCTCCCACCTGACTTCAGCTTGAAGGCTGTTTCTTCATCTCCTGATGAGGGGGCCTTCACTCAGAAACAAGTGTTGGTCAAACTGTGACACCCACCTCTTCACCTCCATCGCTTCTCCCATCCCCAGGCCACCGATTCCCTCTCTTCAGCCCCGCCAGGTCCTAAAGATATTAACCTGTTATACTGAAGGCAAGATTGCCTTACAACCGAGCTTGAAATCCTGGGGAGGGGAGAGGGGGTGATTTTTTGCATTCCTGTTTTTACATGGTGTGGGATAAAATAATATAATTCCATTCAGATCCAGGGCTGTTGGGGGAATGAAAAGCCAAGAAGTCAGGACCCCAAGAGGGTAGTGATTTTTGGCTAAAAATGGAAAGTATATATTCAATTTACATGAATTATTTATACTCTGTCTTTATAATCATAGAATGTGTTGGGGGTATTTTTTTTTTCCTTTAATAATCAAGAAATGCCTGCTATAGTTCAGTGGCAGGAGGTGTCAATGCAAGCCGGGCCCCGGGTGATGCAGACTCCAGCGAGAGTCTGCAGAGGCCGTCCTTCTGCAGCGAGGCTGATAAGCCCTACAGCCTGGCGGGAAGGCCGTGGGGAACTGGGAATGGATCTATACCTGTGAACGCTTCCGTTTTTGAACAGGGTAGAGATGTCCTAAAGAAAAGGAATAAAGAAGAGATAAGACAGGACTCTCAAGGCATCAGCCTACACACAAACACACACACACGCACGCACACACATGTGCACACACACACAATACCATGATATAAGCTTTAGAAATAGCCACTTGCCTACTCCCTGGGGCAAGCAGTGGTTTAAGCTAGACGAGTCTGATCAATGCTCTTTCGTTCATTTAACTACCAGTATACCTCGCAAGGGAGTTTTAAAAAAAAATGTGCGTGAGCTGTTAAAAACTTCTGTTCATGTGTCCACCTCTGATTTATGCATATTTGATATGCAGAGATCCTATGTCATGGAGGTTGGTCCTATTGGGGGGAGGGAAGGAGTTCTGCATGGTCCGTGGTCAGTTCTTCTGGGGGCCACCCCTCTCAGTTGGTAGGTGGGCAAAGGACCGTGTGATCTGGCCACAGGCAAGGCCCCTGTGTCCCCAACCTGCTTGGCTCAGAGGGTATAAAACGGTGGTGGCCTTCTTCCTCCTTGGTGTCTCTCGTCTCCAAGCCCTTGTGCCACCACTGAAAACCGTAGTGGAATGTCATCAACACTGAACACGCCACTCCCCCTTCCTCATCCTGCCAGTTACCTTCACCCCCCACAGGCCCCTTCCCCCCATGGTCTTGGTGCTAAGAGAATTTTAGAATCATTGCTGCTAGTCAATAGCTTTTCATTATATAAATATATTATATATATTATATATTATTTTTGAAACTTTGTTTTCGACAGTGATGTAGCATGTTCAAAAACAAAAATCAAAAACAAACAAAAAAAAAAAACAAACTGGTTTTCTCCGACTCCCACTGCCAGGCCTCATATGCTGCCTTCTTCAACAAATCAATGCACCCCTGCCTGGTGACACTCGCCCCTCCCCATGCCCAGTTGCACATACCCCCTCCCCCTCCTCTGTGCAAGAAGAGCATTTGCAGGAAGTAGCAAAGGAAGGCCCAGCGCCCTTCCTGAGACTCTGAGCTGCCCAGCCTCTCTGAAGCTATAGCTCCTGGTCACCCACACCCATGGGGCCAGCGTGGAGCTGGGATCCAGTGGGTGGTGGGATGCTGTTGCAGATCACAGGGCTCCGCCTTCCCCCACAACCCCCGGGCTTTGTCTCCCCTGCATGCGTGCACTGCCTTGTCTGCAGGAGCTTTCTTTGGTCGTTGCAAACTAAGATGGGTCGAGGGCAGAGATGACTGACAAGGTGGGCCTCGGGGAGGCAGAAATAGTCAACTGGGACCCTTTCTTCTAGCCAACAGTTGCCTTATGCCTTCTTTTTCCCTCTGCTTCTCCCCACCCATTTCATTGGGACCCTCTGCTGGGAATAGTCCCCTAGTCCACTCATTTGAAAACCAGGAAGGGAGAATCTTTAGTGTCTGCCTAAGACCCAGTCAGGGCCGTGCCTGGTGTCCTCTCAGAAGGCCATGGCCAACGTAGCTCAAGTCTTTATCTGGAAGGAAAGGAAGATCCTTTGGGCCAATGCCCTTGTCTGCCCTCTCTCCTGAGAAAGCTAGGAGTCGGTGGGGGTCTGGGCTAGGGCTAGCCTGAGCTGCTGCAGGCAGCCTGTGACAACAGGCCTCACACTGGGGCCGAGGGCCTTGAGTTTGGCAAGGCATCTTTAAAACTGGGTGCTCATGGCTTCTGCTGAGTGCAGCCGGGTCTGGCCATGTAGGACACTGTTGGCCACTCAGCTTGGGACAGGGAGTAAGGAGGGAACAATTTGGGTGACACACCACTGCAAGTTACACAGGGACTGTTCTCAATCTGGGCGCTCCCAGGAGATTCAGGGCTTCAGCCATGGGAATTCTGCAAGCAGCATCTCCCACTCGGTCTCCTTGAGGACTCAGGGGTCGATGGCACCCTCAGGGTCTAGCCCAGGGAACCACGTGCCCGGCCAGCCTCACCTCCCTTTGACGGGTGGGAAGAACCATGGCCAGGTGGTCCTGGCATCACAGCGACGGTCGCTCAGACAAGACAGCTCCGTGACTCTGCCCCTGACTTAGGAGGCCAGCCACTGGTTTAGCGGGAGACGCCTGTGTCTCTGGGGTTGAGATGTGTGATAATAGCGACTGTCTTCAGCACCTGGAGGACGTGGGACGTGGCATTGGGCCAGTGGCCAGCTGTACCAAGCTGATGCGTGGCAGACCCTGGGAGCCAGATTGGGGTGGAAATGATCTGATTTTCCTCCACAGAGGAAAAAGACCATTGTATCTGTGAAACCCGAGGACACCCGGCCACATCTGCAACTCTTGCCAGGTCAGAATCCCTGAGTTGTGCCTGCCCGGCTGAATGTGAGTCCAGGCAGCCAAAACAACACCAGCTTTTTTTTTCTTTTTCGGTTTTTTTTTTTTTTTTTTTTACAACTGCCTGCAACATCCCATAGTCTGGATAGACCCTCACTTTTTCGGAATGAGAACCTGCTCCCCTTGACTCGCTCATGTCACCCCTTTAGTTCGGAGGAAGGACCTTGTACTTACTTAGGTGATGTTGAAATGTTTCCATTTGTCTGGAAGTGACGGCGAGAAGGGGCAGACGAGGACAAGCACGTAGAGTGCCCCAATGAGGGTGGGAGACTGAAGTAGACAAGAGACTTGGCCCAGCCCGGCTGTGGGCCCGGCCTTGTTCTAGCTGCTCCCCTAGAGCCTGATGGGGTCCAGGAGGGGGCTTGAGGGTTGAAATGGAACGTCGCTTCTAGATTCCTCCCCTTCCTTTGTCTCCCCCCGTCTCTAGGAATAGCTATTCTGTGTCTAGCTCCAGTTTGGTCTGGTGGTCGGGGTTGATTTCTAGGTAGAACTTGTGCTTTATCTTGGCCCGACACCCTGTTTGGGCAGAAGGCGGCCGTGGTCTCCCCCTGCGCCTTCAAGCAGCAGGCCTCGGGCCCGGCCAGCCGGGACAGCCTAAGTAGGGCCTCCTGGAAGGCAGGCAGCTTGGGGTCGCCCCAGTCCAGGCACAGGGCCCCCTGGGGAAGCAGTGCCGGATGAGGGGTTCTAGGTTGAGTTCCTCCTCGCCTCTCGAGGAGGGGAGAGGATGTCAAAAGACGCACAGGGTCCTCCTGCTGGAGGGAGACCCTTCTCTTGCCCTCTGTTGACAGGGTGCTTTAGCCGAGTAGATGGAGCCCTGATATTTTAAGGAGCCTTTAAGGTGATTTTTGTGTGTGAGCCAGAGGGAGAAAAAGTGCCCTTTCGGGAGGAAAATGGTACGGCCCTCCTCTTCCATCTGGCTCCCCCCGACCCCCATCCCTTCAAGTAGTAGCACCCTGGAAATACCTATGCAATCCGGTCTCCCTAGGAGAGTGCACGGAGCAAGGGTGTGTGCAGTGTATAATACAGATGCTACAGCATATATTGTATATATGGGCATATACAGTACGTATACACACAGAGTATGAGATTAAATCACGTCTATATATCTATAAATAATATCCTATATATTTATACATTTCTATGTTTTAAATAGATATAAAATAGAGTCTATAGAGAGCTGGGAGAGCAACGGGAAAGTCTGTCGCAGTGATGTGCGAAGAAGGAGGAGGCAGAGCCTTGGCAGGGGGAGGTGTGGGAGCCGAGCCAGCAGGGTCTGCTGGGAATGGGGCCTCCTACCCCACTGTTGGCGAGCAGAGGAACTGGGCCCGGCCCTCTCTGTGCACTTTCTCTCCTTTACCCCAGGCTTGGCCTGAGGCTGGAAGGAGACACTCATCCCCTGAGTTCCAGCTGAAATGCTCCCTCCTGCAAGCGACGCTTGGGTGGTCACTGCTGCGTGGCAGTAGGACGTGGTCTCCGGCCCCTGGTGGAGGGACCACTGCACAATTCCCTCAAATACCCCCCTCCAGGATGAGTGGTGTGGGTGGCAACATGGAGGGTACAAACTGGCAGCCAAGAGGCTGCCCTCCCTTCTTAAGTGTTTCTGCTGCCCCCTAGAGGCCAAGCCTCTGCCGCCAGCCTCCTGGCCTCCCTCCCGTGCCACCCTGGTCTGCGGCGCCCCAGAGAAGTAAAGGGGGCAACGCTGCCGCCATCCAGAGATTTTTTTTTTTTTCCTGGACGGGGCAGGGGGCATCAGCTAACAGGAAAGGGCGGAGAGACATATCCGCACACTCATAAATTCAGTGGCAACTCAAGTTCAGAAGCAGGGCTGTGGCCCGGCCCACTTTGCACAGCTGCTGCTGCTGGCTGTACTCAGGACAATGCTCTCCCCTCTCCTGCCCGGAGGCCCGGCGCCCCTCACCCACCGCCGCTGCAGCAGGCAGGTTTAGTTCACATACACTGTTCTGATTCTGTGACTTGAGGCAGAGGCTGAGCCGGATGCCCCAAGCTCATCTGTTTCCACTGGGAAGGGCGCCCTCCTCGGCCATCTCTGCTTCCACTCCGAGCCCCCCCCCCCCCCCCCCCCGGCAGGGATGCCCTGGGGCCGAGGGGGCACTGGTGCAGCTGGCAGCATGACGGAGGGCTTGTGCAGCCCTGACGGAATCAGAAGTCCGTTTCACTTGCAGGTTTCTCTGTTGTTTCTTTCCCCCGGGAATGGAGGAGGAGAGAGGTGGGGCTGCGGAGGATGGGAGACAGGCGGCAGTGGCATCCTCTGCTCTCGGGGGCAGCCTCTGCCTTGTGACCCTCCAAAGGCACTTACCTCCCATCCCCCGCCTCCTCCAGCGCCCTGTCCTTCTCTTCCCCTCCATCCTACCAATGTACCTCAGTCTCCGGCAGACCCGGCCCATACCTAGTCCGGGCTGGGTCTGCTCCGCCAATGCCCACTCCTCAACCCTCTACATCCGCCTGGGTCTACTTGAGCCGCAGCTGGCTGCCAACTGGGTCTCCAAACACCCTTCAGTGCCTGGCTCAAGCAAGGCCAGGCCCAGCCCAAGCCTTCCTCCCGCTGCTACGGGGCAGACCCAGGGCAGGGGATGGGCATTCCCCTGGTAGCAATCCCACATGCACTGTACCTCAGAGAGAGCGCGCTTCAAGGGGCACGGGGGCAGGCCCTCGTCCAGAGGAGACAGCTGGCGGCAATACTGCTCACAAAAAAGACAAGGACCAGGCTGCCCTCGGGCACCCCTCCGTCTCCACTTTGTCTCTCTAGTTTGGTCTTTTCCAGCCCGTCTCTCTCCTCTCCACCACCACCACGCTGCTGAAGTTTCATTCAATCACAAAGGAAAAATAAAGTGGGGTGGGGGGGCAGACCTAGGAGTCTATTATCACATGCATATTAATATGTTAATACTTTCTTTGTTAAGGAAAAAAAACCTCTTGATGTTATTATTTTGCAGACTACGCTTTATAGTTCCTGTGTGACGGGGCCTAGAACACTGGATACAAATAGAGCTATGTTGGTCTATCCTAGTATGTACGCAGAGACTTTCCTTTTATCATATTATCCTTGTAATGTAAGAAGATTGTTAATAAAAGCATTTAAATTTACTCACCCAGGTTGAATCTCTGCCTCCTCCCCTGTATTCCAGACCTGTGCTGTGGCTCTGGGGTCTGCCTGCTTGGAAGGATCTAGAAGAAAGGGCTTCAAAGCTCCTTCCCACTGCCCTCAATTCCCACCCCCCCCCCATTCAAGTCCACTTCCAGCAGGTGACACCTCCCCACCTGCCCAAGAGGAGGTGCAATCGAAGCTACTTAAAACAAATATGCTGGCCCCTGCGTCTTTTATCCTGCAGGAATCTCAGGAAACAGTTATTGCAGCTAAACAGTTGCCCACCCTTGTTTCTCCACTTGCAGCCCCCGTCCCAGGGGAGGGTCTTTCCCAATGATCTGTTAAGGGTGTGGGTCTGGGGATGGGTGATGGAGATGTGGTGTGCAAGTTGTTTTTGTAAGAAGATGGACATAAATGCCATAAAGATACAGATAAATGTTTTCACTTTTTCCTTCCAAGATGCTAAGCCCTTCTCACTCAGCTCCTGTTCCCCCATCCAGATTCTTTTGGGGGCCCTTCCTTCTTCCCTTTTCTGCCTTGGTGCCTAGCCCCTTCCTCCAGCCTATCTCCTGGAGACCCCTTATTTGGTCACTAAGGAGCCCTTAGTTGGTCCCTGTTTTGTTGTTGTTTTTTTTCTATTTTTTTTTTAAAAAGATTGATTTATTTATGCATACAAGAGCTGGGGTACAGGCCAGAGATGCATGGGGTGAGAGGATCCACCAGAGACAGAGTGGGGAGCAGAACAGGCAGAGCCACTGAAATACACTGCTGAGGGGAGCAGTGGGCAAGACAGGAGAGGTCTGCTGCACCACGTGGGTCCGCTCCCTGGCCAGTGTGCTGCGGTGGCTGCGGGCAGCTTCATAGTGCTGTGTCTTAATCCCTTGGGCTACCAGGGAAGCCCAGGAGCTCCCTGTTTTGAAAGGTGCTCTACAATCCCCATGGAATGTTCCAATTTGCTTCTCTTCCCAGAGGAGAGGGAGCAGTCGAGGAAGGAGCCAGGGGCTGCCACTCACTGTCAACATCTAACTAGCTCAGGCGGCCAGGGTCCACTCTGCCCTACCGCTGGCCATTTGGATTTGCAGCCGTATCTGGATTGTGCTGATGATTTCACCACTAGGAAGCAAGGACAATAAAGTGCCACCATCTCCACTTAGCCGTGACCTCTGTCTGCCCAAAGCAGGAGTCGAGGATGTGGTAAGAAGGAGAGGTCCAGTCCTCTCCCTTCCCTCCTCCACAGCATACTCCACCCCCACCCCCCAGCATCCTGCTCCAAGATTCAAGGACAAGTTGAGTTCAGGGAGAAGACTCAGGGAAGGGCAGGCTGATAAAGACACGAAAGGCTGCTATGTGATGGTCTCTAGAGCTATCTTTAAAAACAGACCCTGCCATGGCATCCTTTTGCAAAATGCTCCCTACCCACCCCCAGGGCTGCCATTGCCCTTGGAGTTCAATCCACAGCCCCGCCAGGACCCAGCCCCGCGATCCAGTCCCCTCGTAGGCTCATGTCTCTCCACCCTGCTCCAGCTGCCCAGGTCTCCTCTCTGTTCCTCCAGCTCCCCATGCCTGTTTCTAGCTCAGGACCCCCCCAATACCCAGTGCCCTCAACAGCTCACTCAGCAGCGCTGTGTCTCCGGGACTTAGCATAGACTGCTGGTTTACTGACTCCTGGCTCACGTTACCGTCATTCTTTTTTGTTTTTTTTTTTTAAAGATTTATTTATTTATGCATACAAGAACTGGGGTACAGGCCAGAGATGCAGGGGGAGAGAGGATTCACCAGAGACAGAGTGGGGAACAGAACAGGCAGACTGACTGAAATACACTGCTGAGGGGAGCAGCAGGCAAGTCAGGAGAGGTCTACTGCGCCATGTGGGTTGCTCCCTAGGGCCGGGAATTGAACTGCTGCAGTGGCTGGTGGTAGCTTGACAGTGTTGTCTTTAACCTCTGCACCACCAGGGAGGCCCCTGCCATCATGCTTGTTACCCTTGGGTCAGGATGAAGCAGTGCGAGGAACTGTTGGTGCTTCCCAGCTCTTTTACTCAGGTTTCTGGGGCTACCTTGTGTGACGGGTTGTCTGTGACTTTTTTTTAACATTTATTTATGCATAAAAGAGCTGGGGTGCAGGCAGAGATGTAGGGGGTGAGAGGACCCATCAGAGACAGAGTGGGGAGCAGAACAGGCAGATGTACTGAAACACACTGCTAAGGGGAGCAGTGGGCAAGTCAGGAGAGGTCTGCTGCGCCATGTGGTAGCTCCCTGACCAGGATTGAACTCATGCTGCAGTGGCTGAGGACAGCGTCTTAGGTTGCATCTTAACCCCTTGAGCCACCAGGGACACCCGTGTCTGTGACTTTTAATCCAGAGCCTCTACCTTGGCGGCTGGTGAAACCCTCTGCTTGAATAGGAACCTCCTTTTCCTTCTCATCTGAGAGAGAGGTCCTCCAGGTGCCTTGTGCTTCAATAGCCATCTGACCTGGCCCTCGAGGGGTGGGGCCACCTAGAGGTTCTGTTCATGTGTTTGATTTGGGCCGGAGAAACAGGTTTCTCCTTGCTTGTCCCTGGTTCAAATCCCGGGGCTTCTAAAGCAGGACTTCTGCCGCCAATCCCACCTGCCACCAGGCTGCCCTGAAGCACCGAGAAGTTGCGGGCCTGGGATGGCAGCCAGGCCCAGCCTGGGCTGTGTGGACATGAGACTCCACCCAGCGAAGACAAGCCGCCACAGGCCCCGGCATACCGTGGCCAAAAATTGGATCCGTTTCCATGGCAACACCTGGCTTCCAGCCCCAAGACTGGCTTCCTCCCACCAGGTAGGTGCCACTTCCATTTCTGGTTTGGGGAAGCTGCCGTGGTCCCGCCAAGGACCATCTGTGCTGGCTCACTGGGGGCAGCTCAGCGCTGAACGAGCAAACGCCAACCCACCTCCCCGCCCAGCATCCATAGACACGTCCTGTGGCGCTATCCTTGCCAGGCGCCTTGCCCTGGAGGGAGACAGAACAGATGCTAGAGCTTCGAGCTCCCGAGATGGTGGCGCTTTCCATTGCGTCTAAGAAAATAGAAAGTTAGGTGGAAAACTACCACCGCTCCATTAGAAATTAAGCAAATGAGAAGAGGCTGATTCAGAGCTCCAGGTGACAGTGCTTGTTGTCTAGAGGAGGGTGGCTGGCAGGAGACTCGGGGGTGGGGCTTCACCGCCAGCCTGGAGACCATAGATGTGTGAGGAGTGTGCTGCTGCAGGCTAGCTCACAGAGCCACACAATGTTGAAGCTTAAAATGGCCTCAGGATCATTTGGTCTCAATTCATTTTACAGGAGTGGAAACGAAGAGCCAGAGGCAAGTGACTTGCGCAGGGCTGTGAAGGTGGCCAGTGGCTCAGCCAGGCTGCGCCATTAGTACTTTTGGGAGCTCCAACTCCAATTGCCTGGAGTACATTTTCTGGCAGAGGCAGAGTTCATTACTTAAGCTCCGGGGTGATATGGTTAATGATCTTCTCCCCTCCTCCACATCTCTTGTATGTGAGATTTGCACAGATTAGATTAGGTTCAGGTGAACCATATTCTTATTTATCTGTGAAACATGGTCTTCATGCTATTTAGCGTGTGGGCAAAGACCCACTTCTTTTTTACCATGAAAATAAAAATCCTTGTTGTCATTAAAATAGAATAATATATTCATTAACATAGAACAAGGAAAGCAGAGATATCTCATGGCTTTCTTTATGGATCATTTATCCTTCCTAATAATCTTTGATGTAAATTTATGTGATCTGGCTGATTTCCAACAACTTTAAAATTTAGGTCCTGCCTCTTACTTAATGCCAGTCTCTTCCTCCAGAGGCCAGGGCCACAGTGGCCACCAGAAGGGCCTAGAGTGACAGGACTCAGAAAGTTACCCTCTCCCTGCCCAGCATCTGGAGTACAGGGAACCACTGGCTATTACAGTGACTCTTTTAGAATTGGGAGTATTTCTTTTGGGGATGTTGGAGGAAGAATGTCTTTGTGTCCACCTTACTTTTTTTTTGTCTCAAGAATAGTCAAAGCTTGCCTCTCTGCTCGTACTTAGACCCTTTGCTTAAGTGCTTAAGCATCATTAAGGCACATGCCTGCCTGAACACACATGCACACACAGAGCACTGTGTGACCCAGCAATTCAACCCACTTTTGGATAGGCCTCTTAGAGAAACACGCACACACATTCCCAAGGAGACATGTATAGGAGTGTTCACAGCAGCATTTCCTGTAACAAAAGAAAGAAATCTAAGTGTACCTCATTAGGAAGAGGGGACTGTGGCAAACCCACACAATGGAATATTATACAGCAACAAAAAGAAAAATGAACTATAGCTCCTATATCTGTGTGGGCAAAGCTCAAAATTTTATTGTGGAACAAGATGAAAGTCATGTGTAGGTTAATGACAGGGATGTGTGCTGAGAAATGCTCATTGGGTGGTTACATTATTACATGAACACAGGTAACTACACAAGCCTACATGGCCTAGCCCACTCCATGCTAAGCGGAACACTCTTATACATGAGAGCTGTCATTGAAACTAAGAGGCATATAACTGTTACTAAGAGGCATATAACTGCAGTGAGATGCATTTCAAATAAAGTTAAAAACATGCAAAAAATACTTTGTAGTGCTTAGAATTTACATATAAAGATGGTGGAGGGATAAAGAAATGCTTTATCCCTTTATCAAGAAGGCTTACTGAGGGAAGGGATGATAAGACGTCAACTGTACTCGAACATATCCAGTTTTATTAAATAGATCGTGAAGCAGTGAGCAAATGATCTTTTCAGCATCTTATATAACTAGGATATAGAGAAGGAAAAAAGAAAACCCCAGACAATTGACCCTGTTGGAAATGATTTATTTACCACTGGATGGTTTTTGCTCCAAAGTGTGACACCAGACACGACTACAATGTCTCATGCGTCTTTTTGTGCTTCGGTTCATGATTTGTAAAACAAACACACACACTTAGCATCGACAACAGGAAACGCAGGTGGCAGAAACAATTCACAAGGACTAAATGTCTCTTTGGGTGGTCCTCACCTCAATTTGGCTTGGGCTGCAGCCACTGCCACCCAGAACTCCTTTAAACCCCAAAGGAATCACCCCCCAAAACTGCTTTCCCATCTTATGCTCCCCACAGGGTGTCATTTAGGATGACCACTCAGTCGACCTACACCAAGAGTAGTATTTTAAATTGAAAAGGACAGTCAATAAGCACTGAACAAATAGATATTGATCTGATGTAGGAAGTGGAGTCACAGAATAATGAGGGTGGACCCCCAACTCTCTAGTCCCACTGCTGTATCTGGGAAAGAACCAGGTCACACTGTGGGCAACAGCCTTGGCCGAGATGGCTTCTCATTTTATTTTCACCTCTGCTTCATGTTCTTCTTAGAAAATGCTCCCTGGAAAAATACAAGGTGTTCCTTTCAAAAAAAGGATCAGACGCATTCACACAGACTCAGTTACTCTCATTTGGTAGTAAATTGCAAATGTATCTGGTTCAAGGTAAGCTGATGCAAAGATTACTGAAGTTTTTCAATTTGGCAGTCTGATATCTCTGGGTAATGTAAAATTCACCAAGATGGAGATTTGGTAGAAAAGCACAGTGATTATGTTCTTGTCTGTTATTAATTACATTTACACAGAGAGCTATGAATTGTCATTAGGTGAGTGATAATAATGTGAATTTCTAGGCCAACTGCTGAGAATCTGATGCATTTGCCATTGAGAACTCTGCCAGGACTCTGATTTTCATGCCATTTTCAGCTTTTTCTGCCTACGCCCCCATCCATCCTTCATTCCTTGGTTCCCTCGACATTTGTGGAAGGCCCGTGCCAGCTTCATTCCGAGGTGCGTGGAATATACCAGTGAGCACAACAGTGCTAACCTGCTCACCTGCCTCATCTCTGTCCATCACTACTAAGTCACATGGTGGCTGAAACCTACGGCTTTCAGTGGTGGAATGTGACTCCTATCTTGGGCAACCCGTACTTTGGATTCTGGAAAATGTAACCTTTGAGATCCAAATAAATGAACATGTCATGATGGAGGGGCCATGGAGAGGGTTGACATTTCTGGGATCAGGGGTCCTGCCCAGCCATCCTCAAATACCCTTTGGTGTGACTATAAGGCAGGCCTGGGCTTCTAAGAATGTGGAACCCATGTTTCCTGGTTTTAAGTGCAGAATCGATTTTTCTCGATGGCAGTAGCTGAGAATACTGATCAGCTTCCATGGGGATCTTTTGTTTTCTTTTAGCCATACCAGCCCAAAAAGGGGGACCAGAGTGGTGAGGAGGGTTTCAAAAACATGTTATAGGAAATCACTAACCAAAATATTTGGCAGGAGGTAGTCAATCTTAATTATCAAGATTTCTAATTATCTAAAAGACTTTCCCATTGAAGAGGAACTAGAGGCTTTTTTTCTTTTCTATCATAGGATGGGTTGAAGTTACTTCTAATGCTTCTGTGCTTCTGTACAGAAAGGGAAAATTGTGATAAGAGGCGGTAATGTTCCTCAGAGTCTCTGGGAGAGACCAAGAACAGCTTGACTTGCTCAAGGACAGGAGGCCCTCTTGTCTAGAATTCGCTTTTAGATCAGGGGCTTGGTGTGACAGCTGAAGATTCAGAATTTGGATGTCGGTATGGAAGTGTCCCAATGCAGATCCATGGTTCTGGAAATTCTTGGGATGATTCTGGAACTTTCTAGGCATTGCCAGGTACCAACTTAAAGCTTAAAGATGATTTGTTGGTAGACTCCATTTGTTTTTAGCCTGGGGTGTCTCCAGCTTTGGGGCACAATTTCATCTACCTTACCATTCCCAGAGAGCCGCTATGTCATCCAGACTATTTTGCAGGTGGCCAAACAGAGAGCCCAGAATCCTGGTTCACAGGCAGAGACCACATCCACTGAGCAAAACTCATCTTTCAGGTTTAATCAATGCTGTGGACATCTATTTGGAATAATAAGGTAGGAATCTGAAATCTAGCTGATGTCTATTGACTCATTTAAAGTGGCAAGTCTCAAAAACTGAGGGAGAGAGGTATCTTTGCAAAAGACTTCATTTCCTATTTAAAGTCATCTTTCTTTCTACTTTCACATAACCGGGTATAATAAACTAATTAACATGTGCCCCAAAATGACTTCCTCGGGAAGTGGCTGGAAAGCCGAGAAGGGATGGGGCTGTCTCAGAGGGTCACTTTGGCGATGCTGGTGGAAGTGACAACTGGGGCTCAGAATCTAGTCCACTAATAGAGGATCCCTCCTGTAAGGTCAGGGAAGTTCTCCCCAAATAGGACATAAACTGATTTTGAGATAAAACAGTAAAGTTACTCAATAAAAAAAGCACACAATTCAGTCCAAGAACAGAATCTGAAAGCACAGATGAAAATATTAATTACTTAATTGCAATAATTAAAAAACAGAGACTCCCAAATTCCACATTGAACGTTTGAAGTGTCCAGTCTGGGAGCTGGCTGCCTCCAAAATGCTGGGGCCCTGACAAGGACTGTGAAAACCCTCTGGAACATTGTAACAGGAACTTCTCCATCTGCAGGGCTCCAATCCCAGCAGGATAACCATCCAGTGCTTGTTAAAAATGCAGGCTCCTGGGTCTTGGCCAGGGATACGGATCTGGAATGTCTACAGGTGGGCCCAGGAAGCTGCTGATGATCCTTCACACAATAAGGTTTGAGAGCTACTGGGTCCCGGCCTCGGGTCAGGAGTGTGCCTTGATGCTGGCTAAGATTTCATCCCACCTGACAATCTCGAATTCTATGGGTTGGTCCAGGATTCTTTTCTTTCTTTTACCCTTTTTGCAATGCTTATTTAAACACACACACACACATCCTCTCTCTTCTTTGCATCCACTATTCCTCCAAATGAAGCTTTCTCTGGATCCCACCTGACCCTACCTGCAAAATCTGCACCTGGGCTGGATTTGCTAAGCTGGAGCAATGCAGAGGAGTGAAACGCACTGCTCAGCACGACCCGGGTGTAATTTCCACACACCGCCTTGCTCAGTTTTCAGGAACAGGAGTGTGATGAGAGAGCAATAAGGACCTGGCCTTTGCAAACATGTCTGTCTTCTGGGTGTCAGAATGAGGATGGGGCACAAAAAGGAGATCGCAGAAGACAGCTGGGCTGACGGGTGGGACTGTGCCCAAGAAGGAAGGCGGCCCAGGCTCTGGTTACAGGTGCAGCTGGTGCCACATGGCGATCTGCCGGCGCGGGTTCTTGAGCATCTCCTCCCAGTGGCTGCGCTCAGAGCCAGAAGCGTGCAGGCCCAGGCTGCAGCAGCCCAGCACACAGCTCTGCCCCTCCTCGTCCTGGCCCAGCACTTCCAGCTCCACACTGGAGGCCTGCAGCAGGTCGTCGGGCAGCTCAAACATGATCATCTCATTCCACACCGGGTTGATCTTGTGCTTGGCCCGTTTGGTCTGCTTCTTCTTCAGCTTCCGGGCCTGGTGCTTTAAGGTCACCTTGACAGAGACATCTGGGGAGGGGCAGAGAGAAGAGCTAAGAGAAAGCTGAGATGTGGTGGAGCCTGGGAAGGTGCTCCCTCTTGGGGCTGGAGAGAGGGTCTCTGGCTCAAGATGTGCCCTGAGGCTCCCTCTCCACCCCCACGGGGTCATGCCTTCATACTACTATTAAATGCCTACCCTTTGGCAGACACTGGGGGTACAGCCAGAACCCCTGCCTCATAGAACTTAAGCTCAGGCGTGGAAAACAGACAGTAACGTAGTATGTGAGGTGGCTCCCTCGGTGGCCCATTGCTGGGTGATGTGATTGCATCAGTCACCTTGTCCCATAGGCCCTTCTAAGTGTCTCCAAGTCCCAGAGCAAACCAGGCCCAGGTTACAGGCTCAGATGTCCTGCAGCTTGTTTTAACTCTAACCACAAGTCTAGCCCTGTTCTCATGTCCTGTGTTCCCCTTCCAAGCACTGTTGATCTATTATTAAGATAGCAGATCTCCTGCGGCCGCCTGGATTCTTCTCTGCTCTTTTGTACGTTTACTGGAGGGCTGACCCCATGTAGAGGGGCAGGCACTGGCAACCGGTCTCCACGGGTCCCCAGACCAGACTGCAGGTGACCTGAGGAGGCTCGGGGCCCTGGTAATGCTTTGTGTTCGTCTAGGTTCCTGAAGTGCAAATAATTGTTACTCTGTATTTATTGCTATAATTATCTCCCCCAGGTGGTTAGTTTGTTATTTCAGTGGAGATAGACAAGTCTATAGTCCTGAGAGGGGTTATTAAAAAAAGAGCAGAAGGTCACACATCGTGGTGGGGAGGAAATGAGAAAAAAGGCTGCGTTCTGACCCCGCTGTCAGCCAGACAGATTCTTCTGACTTTATTTGCCCATGATGTTTTGTTCAAAGATTCCGAACTCAGTGGCAATTCTGTATTTGTCTCCTGCTATAAATATCCATTGATTTAGCTCTTGCTACGAGCACTGGCTCCAGGTCCAGGTCTCACACTACTCTCACAAGAGATTCTGCTTGGCCCCTCCAGGCTTAGACCCATGTTGGGGTATCCAAAAGGAAAAACCAAGGTTTTGAGAATGGTGAAGGGATGTTTATTCGGGTATATGGGGCATAGATGCCCTAAGCTTAAGGCCGCCTCAGCCTATGCACCCACACACCTTCTGGCATCACCTTCTCTCGCTGGTGTGGGGGTGGCAGGCTGGCAAAGGTTTCAGAAAGAGAAGCTCCAGGGTGGGTATGGGGAGCACAGTGGTGGTGAGCTGAGCCAGGAGGAGAGCCTGTGCTACCCAATATCTGCCAGGTTTGGGTGATGGGGTTGGAAGAGGGTCAATTTACTCCACAGCCCAGAGGCCCCACACTCTGACCAACATGAGAGCTTATTCTTCTCTGATTGATTTGTAAGGTAGGGAGCCCCAGGGAGCTCACAGGTAGCCCCAGGTAGCTGGACCCTGTTGAGTGGGATTGATCAGGAGGAAAGAGACATAAATTTAAAAGGGGAGTCTTTCAAAATTGGTTTGTGAGTTTGGGGTACAGGATACAGCTGAGGTGACTCAATGTGCTCATGTTTAACCTCTCTGCTCACCTGTCCCCACTGCCTGCTGGTACCATCTGTCTCTGCACATGTTCCCAGAGACCAGGGGGGCCCTGGCTTTCTCCTTCACGCCTCACTCACCCTTCCCCAGGAGTTCCTTGGATTGGTTAGAGTGGAGGTTCTTGGCCTTAATCAGCACGACCAGGAGGCGGTTGGCAGCTGGGAGGTAGCTGATGGATAGAAGGACCTCTCCAGTTCCTGCAGACAGCTCCTGAAACACAAGAGGGGTGCAGGAGAGGAGCTTCATGTAGGGGTGGCTGCTGACCCATCAACTAAAGCTGAGGTTGGGATCATACTGGACTTGTGTGCAGTGGGCATCCCAGAAGTCGTTACCCATCCAGGCTGGCTGCTCTACCTTTGCAGAAAGGAAGCGGCACACAGGAATTCAAAATGGCATGTGCTTTAATAAGTTTGCTTGCCACAAAGTGTGATTTTCCAAATATCTTCTTTTTCAACTCAACATATCAAACAGATGAAAGAGATGCCATTGAGGACACAGCAGGGGTAAAGGGCCAGGACCTCCTGTAGGGTAAATGAAGATTGCTCAGGCTTTTGCACCATTGGCCTCTGTGGCTAACACCTGCGGCCTTGAATGCAGGAGGCGCTTGGGAGTGTGGGCCAGGGGTGCGCATGCCTGATGGTGGGCACCTGGAGTATGGTGTGGGCATGCGTAAGTGGGCAACTTGTGCCGAGAGACTGAGCACTTAAGGGCGGCTTCAGAGAGGGTGGAATTTGGCAGAGGATGGTGTGGCTGAAGGATGGTGGAGCCACAGCTACGAGAGGAAGAGACCAGGAGAACACAAGAGAGAGCGCCAAGATTCGCTGAGCCTGGGCCTGCCCCTGCCCTGCAGGCCTGCCACTACACTTGGCATTGGTCATAGGATCCAACACAGACTAGTATACAGCCCTCTGAAGACCACAAGAGGGACAGAGGGACAGCCCTCAGTATGTAGTGCTGGGGGGCCTGCCTCCTCTCTGGGGCGCCTCCAGAATCCCAGTGCAGGTGGAGAGGATGCACAGTGGGGAAGGCCCTGGATGGACATGATGCCTGCTCTGAGGCTGGGCTGGGGGTTGAGTGTTCCTCACAGCTCTGCAAATGGAGTTGAGGACCCCGCTGGAGGCTCTGTGGCAGCGCCGGTGGTGGCCAAAGTGCAGGAGCTGCGGGAAGACCTACAGATGCTCCAGCACAGGCGGTAGACACGGTGCCGGTGCCAGAGCTGCGGGACAAGACCTGGTGTGGAGGAGACGGCCTGCGAAGACCAGCCCATGACCCCTGAGGTAGCATACTTGATTCATCATTCCACACTCACCCAGTGCTGATGCAAGGAGAAAACCAATGGGCTAGCAACTCACCAGAGGGTGGAGTATGCTGGGAGGTTGCTGTTAGGACTATGGGACTCGGGGAGTGCAGGGTATCGTTTGCACACCCCAGGAGATGAAAATCAAGGGGTGGCCTAAAGCAGCCTGTGTGAGGTTCTCTGCAGCCAGGCACAGATGTATCAAAAAAGCCAATTTACACAAGGCAAAAGGCGGTGCCAAGGTTGGGAAGCTTGAGTGGTTGTTAAGCAGTGAAGGATGTTAAAAAGGCAGGTGAGCCCCATGAAAGCACCTGTGGGTGCTGCCCTGTTCACTATGGAATAAGGGTGAGGTGCTGAGGAACACGTCCTTGGGGGTCAGGTGGGGAATGTGGTGTGTGGAGGGGACCGAAGAGGGAACCGGAGAAGCCCCATGTGGGGCTTGTACCCACGGGTGCCCTGCCCCTGCGCATATGCGAAGGGCTGGCCTGAGTGCAGGCGTCTGCGTGTCACAGTGGAGGCTATGAAAGCCAAGTGTTGGAGTGACACCAGTAGCACCCCTGGGATTGGGTGATACCCCAAAAGAGTATAGAGTATCTCCAATCTCAGAGTGAGTTCATTCTGGGGGTGCTGCAGAGTTGTGGCTGAGACCACAGCTGGAGAAGGCAGGAGGCCTGGTGGCTGTGAGCACGTGACACCAGCCCCATGAGAAAGGGGTCCCCCTCTAGTGAGCAGTGCCTGCGCACAGCGGGCCTGATTGGTGCTAACCAGTTACTTTTGTCCCTAAGTGGGAGCCAGTTTGGATTTGGTTGAATTCTGTTGTATTTGTTGTACTGGCTTCGGGTGCATTTGGTTTACTTTTATGGGTCGTGGCTGCAGTGCTAACATTCGCCAAGGGAAACACGGGGGTATTGTGCACCGAAAAAACATGAGGGGGGATTTTTGCACAAGTGAAGAGCTTGGGTATTTCTGCCATGGGCTTCGGGGCTGTCACCTGCGGCCTTCAAAGAAGGAGGCTATTGGGAGCATGGGTGGCGGCACACATGTAATGGTGGGGACTGGAGTATGGTGTGGGCATACCCGAGGGGGCGCACATGAGCCTGGAGGCTGTGGTTCTGAGGCCCTCATCACAGAAAGAGGAGCAGAAAAGGACAATGCAGCAGAGGAGCAGAAGACAAGGTAGGAGGGGCAGGGCCCCATCTGTCTTATCATTATGACACTCTTACCAACCATTATTGCCCTGGTTCGCTGACAGTATGGACTCTAGAACCACACTACTTGGTTCTGAGTGCCAATCCCATGTACCTGCTATGACACTGGCAAATTTTTAACTTTCCCACTTCTTAATCTTCAATTGAGAATAATATTGTCTCCACCCAAAGTGAAAATTCAGTGAGCTTGTATTTAATGGCTTGGAACAGTGCTCAAGGCACACTGCAACTAGGAAGCTGTGGCTGTAACACACACCAGGAGTCATAAGGCCGCCAAGCACATTTTCTGCGAGTGTTATGTGGGGACACTGGGTGACTCGGAGCCGTGCTGGCCACTGGGAGCGAGATGGGTAGAGGAACCGGCCAGTCTCTCTCAGCAACATACCTGACACCCGGGAAAGTTGCCTTCAGCATACACCCCCTCCCCCAGCCAACCACCCACATGAGGAAATGATGTGTAGCCGCCAGCAAGTTTGACCGTGACACAAAGACCGCCTCGTGTCTCAAGCACAGGCACCTTCTGAGAAATGCGGCACTAGGTGATTTCAACATCATGCCAGTGTCACAGGTGCACTCACGCCCACCTCCCAGGTAGAGCCTCTCCCCTCCTAGGCTAGGTGTCACTAGGCAACAGGAGCTTTGAAACCACATAGTGTCACCATCTAAACATCACTCTGTGGCAGTCTAAGAGCGGCTAGTGTGGTTACAAATTTTTACATGCCAGGTGCAATTGTATCATCCATCCCACAAGACCTTAAGCGCCAGGACGCCATCCCCAGCACCTGGCATAGTTGACACACAGTGAATATTTATGAGAAAGAAGAGTGAGATGCCACTTGATCTTGCCAGGAGCCAGGGGGCTACTGATCTTGGCCCCTTTTAAGCAGGAGACCCTGATGAAGCTGACAAGGTATGTCACTGCTTGTGGCCACAGAGCCGGTAAGCACAGTAGCCTTGATGGGAGAGGTCCATCTGCGAGCAAAGCCCGGTGCGAACCCTATGGCTCTGTAGTGTTCCTAGTTCGGTCTGTTCCAGACTCCGATTTCACAGCGAAGGAACTGAAACCTGGGTTCTAGTCCAGGCACCCAGAGGGTGCAGAGAGCTGGGATGGATACCCGTCTCCTGACTCAAGGGCACTTATTAGAGGCCCCCAGTTGGCATGGGGATAGCCACAGGGTGATCAGGTTTGAGCCCTGCCTTCCCTGAGACCAGTTGAGAAGGGTCTGAATCCCCAGCCAGGGAAGGGTTCTTCATCTTCCTGTAGAGCGTGAGGGGCCCTGCACCCCGACCAGGGGTCATGAGCTGCATCTGCCCCCAGGCTCTGCTGCTAAAGTGCCTGTCCATAGAAACAACTCTCCTTTCTCCAATCCTCCCTCGTTTTTCCTGTCCCTTCCCCCACCATCCTTCTCTCAGGTTCTCAATGAATCACTGCAGCTGCCCTTGGAATGGGTCACTCTATAGTCCTGGTGACGCACATGCCACTTTTGGCTGAGTGCCTCTTGGGGAGAACCAGGACACACTGCTGGCACCTCAGTTAACCCCTTCTGGCCCAAAGAAGAAAGACTTTTGGGCTGCAGCAGCTTAAGGCCACCCCCACCTAGTTCAAGTCAGCCAGCACTGTCCAGCTGTGGTGAGGGGTGCCCCAGCTGAGCACCCCTGCCTCCAACCTTGAACTCCAGCACACCCTTTGCAGTGGGCATGTTTGTGGGAATCAGGCCAGAGGCCCATGTGGCTGTGGGAGTCACATGTGCAATGGTGACAGCTAGGAGCACGATGACCAGTAACATGAATGAGGGCAGGGCTTTGTCTTAATTACCCCTGCTGGGTCTATGACTTGACATTAGGTTTTGTAAGCAAATGGTAAATCAATAATATTTGATTTAAAAAATGTTATTGCTAAGTCCCTGGCTCCTGGCACAGTGCCTGGGCATGGTGGAAACTGGGGAAGACATTTGTGGAATAAATAATGTTTGTTCTAGGGGGAGGGATAGAGGCACCTGCAACTTCTGTCTAAAGGGGCTGGATTGTAGCCTTTTTTCAGGTGGTCCCAGATTCCAAAGCCCTGGGTAGAGGGGCTGCCATTTTCAGAGAAACTGTTTCACCAGCTGAACAGATCACAGCAGTGTTGGTTCTTGTTCCCAGGACCTGCCCCCACAGTCTCTCCTGTGACACCCCACATCATACACTAATTAGACAGTGTGCTTTGGAATAGCCTAGTTCCAGCTGAGAGTGGCTGTCAATTTTTATCAGTTTTCCCAGCCTGGGAGAGAGAAAAGTAAGTCAAGGAGGAGATCATAGTAAAAGGGGAGCAGGTAAGGCATGAATGTGACTCTCCTCCTGCTGTTGTAACAGGATGGTCCCCAGTGAAGGGGGAGGTTCCAGGTTCCCTACCCCCAGCCTCGGAGGGTGGAGCTAAGCAGGGAGGAGAGAAGCTAGAGAGGAGGCTGAAGGAGGAGGCCAGAAGGAGACATGTGAAGGAACTGCACCTGCTTTTTGGTCCTGGACTGAGTGAGAGGCCCGTGGGGAGGTTAACAATGGCTGTGTTGATCTTTATTTTAATTTTGCTCATTTCCTTCCACATTTGTCTGGCTGTTTCTGACCCTTTTCTATGGGCTCCCACCAGGAAGTGCCTCACACTTGTGACAGGCTTTCAGGCCTCAGTGGCCCTGCTTTGGGTCTACCCTGTTTGGCTGGGCATTTACCCACGAGGGGATAGGTAACTTTGTGAGCTTGGCTTGGAAACTTTATTCTTCCCCTTTCCTTTGTTGCACACTAATGGTATTAAAATTCCTTTCCATTAAGTCTTCTGCACCAAAGTATGTTTTGTCATAATGTGGCGGATAGCAGAACCTATTTAGAGGGGGCAGGTTTGGGGGTTCTGGGGTGCCCCGCTCCCTGCCCTGTAACACTGTGTCTATTGGGAAAGGCACACTGTGAAGTGCTAACACAGCCCCAGGAGTATAAATGGAATCAAATGGTGATGACATGTCAGCACCAGAGCCAATACATTCAGAACATGACGTTTTCCTTGATGGTGTGTGTGTGGGTGGGGCGGGGGTCTCTTTGCATGGCAAGGTAAATTAAATATCAGGAACCCCAAATCCAGGGCTAGAGGTCTGCTGCAGTCCTCCACCCTAATCATGACCCCGACCTTCCTTACACACACACGTACTCACACTGGGAAGGTCCCCGAGCACCAGCCCAGTCTTGCCACCCATGTCCCTCTGACAGGTCTTTCCCTTCCCGGAGAGAGGGCTCCCTACCTTAACTGAAGTCTTTAACTCGCCCCACTGGGCAGTCCCCAGAGGCACAGAGGCCCCGTCCAGGCCCACGCGGAGCTCCCCGGCCACGCTGTGGCGGGAGAATCGGTCGCAGGTCCTCAGGGTCAGCGTCAGGGTCGCTGTGGGAAGCTCCTCCTCCGCCAGCGGGAGCACCAGGCCTTCCTCCCAGGTGGTGCGCAGCTGCCTCCTCTTCAGGGCCGTCTGGGCCTCCACAGAGCCCATCCTGTTGGCCACGCTGCCTTGGACATAGCAGTCACACCCCCCGTCGTGGTCGCTGGTCACCGCTGCAGCCAAGGACAGAGCAACATAGTTATGGGGTTTCTCGAGGAGGAGGGGAGGGGAGAACATGGTCCAAATGTGAGCACACGACCGTCACAGCCCTCGTGTCTGAAAGACCCGTGACTAATGGGCATCTCGGGGACGCATTTCGGTAAGAGGGTCAGAAAGGGGCCTGTGGCAGCAGTGCCTGCTGGTCTTAGAGAACAGGGCCAAGACTTGGGGCTCGTGACTCAGATTTCCCCAGAGCGCCAGGACCCACAAACTGCTGATGGTTTGTGTTCCAGCTGATACCATCATTTGTTTGTTCCATGTTTTAAATATTTACCACACAACCGCGTGTGATGTGAACCACTTGGCTGCAATCTCGTAAATGTTGTTTCACATTCTGGGCTTGACATTTTTAATGCGTCACTGTGTGGATTTATCCAGAAATTTGCACTCGTGGTGCTTTTATGATGAGCTCCTCAATGATCATTTGAGACTGTGGTAGATCTTACGTCCCAGGGAGGGAAGGTGAAGACCGAAGGCCCTGGGTCCTGACAGAACACATGTGCCCCTGAGATCTCAAGGGTGGCTCAGTCCTGGCTCCGGCCCCAGTGAGCTGCGTGATCTTAGCTATGTCACCTGATGTTGCCAGACCTCAGTTTCTGATCTGTAGAATGGGACTATTATGAAGACCAAATATAATCAAGTCTATGAAAAGGTTAAAAAAACTCAAAAGAAAACATAGAGGGAATAACTCCTTCTAAAAGTTAAACTTGAATACAAAAGTCAGATTTTACCCTGCTTCGTTTCCGGCACCACAAGTAGCCCATTGTTAACACTCATTCCCTTGCAAAATCTGAGCTTTGTTTGCTGAGGACAAAGTGAATTGTCAGGGGAGGGAAAATGGAGATGCCTTGACTCTGCAGAGACAGCCGGTTCTTGGATGACATTTTTGATCATTCAGAACAGCCTCTGTCCAGTGCAAAGCTTTGTCCAATGTCAAAGGTCCCTGTGGCAGAGACAGCCAGCTGTTCACCAAAAACCCACTGCCTCTCTGGCCTGGGTATTCAACAGACCAAATTTTCCAGGCTCCTTTGCAGTTGGTGATCATGTGACTGAGTTGTAGTCAATGATGCCCTATGCTGGTCACCTTGTAAGGAACAGGTGTGCCATCCCCCTGCTATCCCCCTTCTTCTGCCTGCTATGTACAGATGACAAGTAGGCCAGAGATAATTCTGGAGCCACAGAGTACAGAAAGGACCTGGTCCCCAAATCACCATTGGAAGGAAAGAATTGCTTCCCTTTGGACTATTATACGAGAAAGAAAAGGAACCCCGTGTGTCTGAGCTGCACACACTGCTGGTCTGTTTGTTACTTAATGCTAATCTGGCTCTCAGTGCTCCCCCCAGATGTAGGTGCTCCTGGCCACTTGCACAGTTCTACCAGGGGAGACACACACTCAGAAGTCCATGAAAGTCAAATAAGATCGGCACCTTCCAGGCGAGTCACAAACAGCTCTGCCTTCTGCTGGTCATAGTCTAAGCAGTAGTGGAGTTTGGGGGCCTGCTTCCAGCTGGCAGCCTTCTCTGGGTTCCAGGTCTCCATGACACAGACGTCCTCCACCACACCTGTTAGGAGAACAGGTTGTCACAACCACTCAAACCAGCAACCCGTTTTCCAGGTCACACCTTCCCACCCATGCCAAAGATGCAAAGCCATTCTACCTGGGGCAGAATCCTGGTGGCAGCAGCAGGGCAGTGCCTGTGGGCTGAAGCATTACAGCTCAAGCTGTTACAGGGCAAACCCTGATATAAGATGGGGTTGCCTGACTGTGGGTCCTCACCCACATGCTTAAAGAGGACTTATGAATGCTAAACTGCAGACACACACAAAAGGTTGACAAAAGGTGTATTTACAAGGGAAGGGGAAGTGGGAAATGAATAACTCGGGGAGAAAAAAGAGGGACATGAGTTCATAAATGTGTCCTACCCGTTCCGCTGACCTGGAATCCCAATGACCCGCCGAGCTGGTGAAAAACCTAGCATGCCCCGTGGCCAAGTGTGTGACCCCCGCCACATGGCCAGTTAAATACCCAAACCGTGAGTTTAGTTGCTTAACTCCGCCCTCAGGTCCTCGCAACCTTCCCTTTGGTGATCATGGGATTTGTAGTTCCCAGTGGCGTGGGGGTGAGGAGTCCACACAGCCTGTATGGAGTTTGCTCAGGACATCCTTTCCCCCCAACAAAGGGACCATCAGGGCCCAGGGTCAAGAGATGGGTGTGGGGGCCAGATATGAGGGGCTATGTTACAGCACTTGACCTTGGGTAAGTGACTTGACTTCTTTGAATTTCAGTTGCCTCATCTTTAAAATAGGAATGGTCATGGTTCATCCTTCCTAGAATTACTACAAGCAATAGTGAACGAAAGTGAGGCAGTACTTAGCCCGGAGCCTGAGCTTTCAGTAAAGGGAACTGTCACAGCTGTGTGATCCTGGCCACCCCATTTGAGGCAAATCAGCTCCAACCATTCTCCAGCTCCCCCTCTCCCACTGAGTCACTCCTTGCTCCCCAGGAGTTCATGGCTAGAGACCAACGTCAGAGCATGAGTCAGGAGGAGATGCTGGACAGATGGGGGTGGTGGGGGGGAGTGGATCTGACTTCAGTGCCTGGTTGGTAAATACTTCCTGAAGAAAACGCCCAGTCTTATCTTGAACCAGAAAGCCCTACAATCACAAATACTGCTCACCCTGCTCTTCACTAGAACAAGAAGCTAACATCCTGAAAGATGAACCAAATTATTCATCCTGGAAGAATCTCATTAGTCAAACATAATACAAGAATTAAAGGCTCCAGCAGCTGCAGCAGACTCCAGTTTAAACAAATTGGAACTTTTAACATTTTGATTTTTAGACCTAATTTAGAGGGCAGAAATAGAAAGGACTATTTAATTTTCCAAATGGTTCATTACGGGACTCTAGCAAGTAGTACAGACTCTCCCCGGTGCATCCACGCAAGGCTCAGATGGGCCAGGACGGGAGTGATATGCTGTGCGTAGCGAAGACGGGCACCTAGGACCCCGCGGCAGCCCAGGGCGCAGTCAGGGTGAACAGGGGCTTGCTGGGCCCAGAGGGCTCAGCCTTCAAAACCAAAGCCAACTCAAAACAAACCAAAGGAAGGAGCAGATTCAGCTTCAAGAAATGAGACTTTGAGCTCTACAGGGCCAAGCTCCATCCTCCCTGGTGGGTGGGGACCATGCTGGCTCAAGGTGGGGACAGTGTCTGATGTCTCTCTGTTCCCGCCCCCCCCAGTCATTGCTCAGGGTATCAGTCACTCTTGATAGACTTCAGCAGAGCTGCCTTTCAGGGCAGGGGAAGGAATGGGAGCCATGAATAGGAGAAAAGGAACTAACATCCTGAACTCTTAAAGCTCCAGACTCTGATTTGCCTCCGACTCTCCTTCGCAGTGTCCAAACCTGGCTTCCTGTGAGCTTTGAGAAATCCGAGGTTCCCAAGAAAAGAGCCCTTCCGTGAATATGATTACAGTGACCGCCTCCTACAGTCCCCATGCAAATTGCTCCCCACCCTCTAACCTTACGCATTCAGACCTTCAATGGGTCTATTTTTAAAGTGTGGGCTGGCAAACCTGGAGGCCAAAAGCCAACCAGGATCCTTTGATGCCACAGGCACAGCAAGAATTTGTTCTTGAAGAAAAGCCAAGCTAATCACTGTGGTTTGGGGGGGGGGGTGTGGGTGGCACTTGTTTACCGGCCAGCAAGGGGTACAGCTGGACCTGGGCCAGCAGATGCTTAGGGGTGAGGATCAAAGTCTGAGCTGGTTATGTGGCTTCTACTTCCACCAGCTCCCTCTCCAGCCACACAAAACAAAGCCCACAGCCACAGCTGTCCCTTCTCCAGGCCGGATTTTTTCTGCTCTCTTTAAAAAGACTTCATGCTCCTTGGATTAGGGACTATGCCTCTGCGTCTCATACCTGCCTGGGGCCCAGCACAGCCCTGCGCCTGAAAGGATTGCATTCTGCCTGTGGCTGCTGATGACAAGACAGTAGAAACAATAATAATCTGTTTTAATCACCACTTCCGTGCCAGGCCCCGAGTGAAGCACTTTTGTAGATAGAGGAAACTGAGGCCCCAGAGAAGTGAGCCACTGAGCAAGGCCACACCGAAAGTACATTAAAGCCCAGAGAATTAAACTCACATCTCTGAGCCCCACGGAGTTATCCCTGACTCTCTAGGCCCCTCTCCCTAACTGCGCCCACAATTTGCTAGGGGCCCTCCATTTTCCAGGGAAAGCTGGCAGTTTTGGAGAGAAGCAGATGGGGCAACCTGTCAGCAGGCACAGGAGTAATTCTGAGGCCCTGTGCCCAGCTGCTTGCCCGGTGTCAAATCCCAGGGACACTGGGGCCAGTCACTCCCAACATCAACAGGTGCCGCCCAGCCCCTCTGTGAGCTCGCCCCAGAAGAGCAAGGGTTGGGAGACCCCTACCATTTTGAGGAAGGATGAACAGCTCCTCTGTGACCTGCCTCTTGAGGCGGCTGTCGTTCGGGGCCGGGGGACTGGCCAGCACAGCAGGCTCCTCCGTGGTCCTCAGCGTGTAGTCCGCATAGTTGATGACCTCCGGGGCTGTCACGGCTGGCCGGGGGCCATAGACGTCCGGGAACTTGAGGAGGGCCCGGGGCTGCACGGGTTCCGTGGATTTCTGGACATTGAACTGTAAGACAAGTCATTCTGATGAGTCCACGGAGGCCTTCTGCTTGTCTCCTACCCCAGAGGGGGAAGCGACGACCTGGTCATTGCCCTGAAGCTTCTCAAAAAAGAATCGGGCTTGGTTCTGAGTGAGGTTCATTCTGTGTGGCCTCAGGTGTCTGCAGAGCCTCCACATTCCTCCTGACTCAATAGGTCTCCCCAATAACCACAGGAGCCTGGGATAAGTGCTTAGAATACATTCCCAGAGCAGCAGGTTGGGGTTATTCATCTCTCTCCCTTCTACCTTCCCTCCTAGTCATCAGGTTTTCTGGGCCCCACCCCATCTCCAGCTCTCAGGGAGGAAGGTTCTGTTTGGTCTGATCCTAGTTCTTGGCATTATCTTGGGGACTGTTTCAGCCTAGGACTTGGCATCTGTTCTGGGGAAGTCAATGAAAAAAGAATGGAAGGATTAGCATCCCACAGTAGAAGAGGGTCTGACCCTGGTGGCACAAGGTGTTAAGACTCAGTCCTGTACAATTATCAGTAGCCACTGCAGCACAAGTTCAATCCCAGGGAGGTGACCCACAAGGCGCAGCAGACCTCTCCTGTCTCACCCGCTGCTCCCCTCAGCAGTGTTTTCAGTCCATCTGCCTGTTCTGCTCCCCACTCTGTCTCTGGTGAATCCTCTAACTACACCCCCACACACACAACACACCCCTCTGGCCTACATCCCAGCTCTTGTATGCATAAATAAATAAAATAAATCTTGAAAAAACAAAAAAGCAGGTCTGACCTGGCTGGACAGGAAGCGCATGGCTCAGTCCTGCATCTGCATGGAGGGCCGGGTGGGGAGGGACAGCAGAGTGGGGAGTGGGAGAAGAAAGCTGTGTCTGATGGCGGTGTCCTTAAACTCCTGAATCAAACAAGCTGTTCTACTTCTGCATTTCAAGTTCGATGAGCAAATTTCTGATTGTTTGAGCCAGTTTGAACTGGGGTCTTGGTGACTTGCAGCCAAGAGCACCCCAAACAGAAGCACTGCATTGAACCCATAACACAAGACTGTCACCTCCCTGGCATAGAGAAACTGCCTGGGGTAAACCCCCAGCCTGCCCCCACCCCCAACCTCTCCACTTGCAGCCAAAGGCATCTTCACTTGCTGTTCATCCTTGTCCTGCCTTTAGTGGAGAATGATTTATAGCCCTTGACTAGGCTGAGAGCAGGGTCTCGTGGTTGCTACATGAGCCTCTTCAAATAGTGAAAGCAGCAGCTGATTATCTGTCTCTTTCTCTTGTACAATCTTATTTATTGCATTTCAAAACCCTGGGTCCACCACATCTTTCAAATGCATCTGTATTTCCACTTAAACAGCTTAAACTCCAGGGCCCAAGAAGCAGGAGAGTGGTTTGGGGGCTGAGGAGGGCGGCTGGGAAGGGGTTAGAGGTGGAGCATGAGAAGGCCTGCGCGGAAGGAGAGGCTGGGGCAGCAGACCCCAGAGAAGGGCCCGAGCCTGTGGATGGAGGAGTCAGGGGCATTTTCTCTCCGAGTGTCTCGTTAGCGCAGGGGAGAGGGGCTGCGAGTCAGACGCAGGGAGAGTCAGGAATGTGCAGGGGGCAGGCGCTCACCAGCTAGGGGCTGCCCTGCTGAGCAGGGGGGTGAGAGGCACCCTCAGACACCAGTGCCCACCGTCTCCTAGGGTTTGCCCTGCCTCACCCGTCCCTGGGGCCGTGGCCGGCTCTGCCAGACTCGGACCTGCTCACGCGGCCCCAGCCCCACAGAGCCTCGTGGCTTGCCCTGGTGCCCCCCCTTGCCATAGTCCTGGGCCTCTCAGTGGCTGCCGAGAGGTGAGGCACCCCAGGAATACTCTGCGTCCAGCCAAGGTCGACCCACGTGTGTCGGGAGTTAAAACTTCATGGGAGGAACGTGAGCACTGGGAGCCGTGAGCCAAACAGAGTTCTTCTTGCCTCCTCGCCGCCCGCCCCAACAGTCAGGCACGGGGGACCTTTTAGAAGACGACACCTTGAGGTCCAGGAGTGCAGCGGGGCTCAGCATCAGGCCCTGTGAGAGCCTGCCTTCCTCCCCTCCTCCCCCTCCCTCTTCTCACCCCCTTCTCCCCATTCCCCTCCCTCCTCCCTCCCTATGCTCCCTCCTCCCCAGCTCCCTCCTCCCTTCCTCTTTGATCCCTGAACTGCAGGCCTGACAGAGGGCAGCACAGAAGCTGCCTCAGGGCCGCTCCCTGGCCTGCAACCCTAGAGGCTGAGACCGGGCAGGAGTGGGGGCTGGCCCAAGGCATCACGTAACCCATGAGTATTTCTGGAGCCCTGCATCGGGTCAAGTCCTGTGCTAAGTGTTAGGGACACAGAAGTGAGCGAGACAGATGCTGCCCAACCCTCACGGGGTTTATGTTGGAAAAACAGAAATTAATTATGTAATTAACGATCGGTAAACAAATGCTTAAACTTACCCGGGACATCAGGCCACTCCTTTGGCGACAAGTCTAAGTTTTGCACCCAAAGTCTGTTTATTCACGTGCGTTTTCATTCTGGGGTCCCCATCTTAATGATAGCACCCAGGATGTGACGGGGGTTGGAGGATGCACACCCAAGGGGTGAGGGGACAGATGGTTTTGCCCCTTGCACCTGAACTTTAGAACAGGGCAGAGCAGTTGAACACAGAGCATTTGGATGGCCGAGCACGGGCTGTGGGCAGGGTCTGCAGTTAAGCGTGGGAAGCCCCTCAGGGGGCAGCTGGGACTGGGGCAAGGCACCTGCCAGCTCCAGTGCTGCTAACTGCCCTACTGCCATGTGAACAGGGCTGGAAATACATCCTGACCAGGCGTTCAGCCTCTAAACCAGGACAACTTGTTAGGAGTCCAGCCCTGCCCTTGACACGCTGTGTGATCTGATCACTAACCTCTTTGTGCCCCTGGTTTCTTCACCTGTACCTGGGGGCGCGCATGATCGCACCTGACTCCAGAATCTGACTGGGGATTAGATAAGACAAGCCAGTGCAGAGCTCTGGGCACAGAGATGGCATAGCAAGTCCTGGCAAAGTGGGGTGTGCGCATCAGGACCTACATCTTATTGTAAGAAGATCAGTAGAGGCTGGAACAAAGCAAACCGGGCCCTTCCCTCATGCATGCTTCAAGAAGCTCTGGCCTAGGTCACGGTCTCACATCAGAGCTGCGTGGCAGGTGCTCTCACAGTGGCTGCAGGGACCCTCGCCTCCGGCTATTTGGCTCTGCCACCTGCGAGAGCCCCTCCCCTTGAGTGAGGGCTGGATCCCGTGACTTGCTTCTGATGATCACAGAACGTGCAGATGGGATGGGACGTCACTGCTGAGTTGAGCTAACTGAAAGATTGCGCTTCTCCTGCTCCCTCTCATAAAACATGGGGTGATGTTGAAGGCTGCCCGATGCATGTGGCCAGGAAGCAGGGCAGCCCTGAAGGAACGAGATTCTGCCAGCAGCCATCCCAGCAAGCTTGGAAGCAGACCTCCCCCACTCAGGCCTTGGGGTGACCCTGGTGGATTCCTTGACCACAGCACCTGCACACCCGAGTCAGAAGACGTGGATGGAGCCAAGACCAAGGCCTGATTCCCAGAAACTGTGACAATGACATGATCAATGTTATTTTCAGCCACTACAGTTTTGTGCAGCCTGTGGAAATGTGGAATTCAGACCCCCAGGCTCCTCACCCCAGGGGTCCGATTCAGATCTGAGGTGGGGCCTGGGGAATCTGCCTATCTAAGAAGCTCCCCAGGGTGATCATGTTGTGTTGTGGGTAAGGTCACAGCGGCTTGCATGGGTTTAGGGAAAGCCCCAGAAAACCAGGCTGGGAGGATGTAGAAATGTCCACCTGTGTGGGGAGCTGCCCACAGGCACAGCCTCCCCATCTCTTGGTAAGTCCTCTGGGCTCCCCACAGCATCTGTCTGGTGGAGCTCCAGCTCCTGGGGAGCCACTGAGACTAGGAAGTGTTTTTTGGTTGTTGTGGGGAGAATTCACAGGGTCACATCCCAGGAGGAGGAGGGATTTCAAGCAACAAAGTTGAAATTCACTTTGAAGAAGCTGCTTATCAACTGGTCCAGGCGCCAGGCGGTGTTTCCATGGCAACCCAGCCACCGCACCATCTTTTATTAGCCCTTCCACCACTTTCTCTTTTGTTTATTACAAGTCTGTTCCCCCAATCCCTTCTCAAATTTCTTCCCTTGAAACTCGCCTCCTGCTAGTCTCTTTCCCTCCCTGGTTTTGTAAAATCTAGAAAGGTTAATTTGTGGCTGACCTTGCACAACCCCGACCCCCAAGCTGCTACCTAATGCAACAGACTTGAAGGTTTGTTGGTGGATTAGCACCTATCAGGTGAGTGTCTCTCCCGAGCCAGCACAAGTGAGAAACCACAGCCACCCCCAGTGCAAGCCCTCTCTGCTGTAGTCACTCATTCAGTCTCTCGTTCCACATTTATTAAACCTCTAGATGCCGATCAGCTACAGGAACAAAACTGTCCCATCATTTTCTTCAAAGAGTAAGCATTCCCAGTGGAGTTGAGAGCAAGAAATCAGTAGACACAAAAGGGCAGTAAGTCCTATCATGTTAGGGACAGGGCCTGGGCCTCCCTGGTGGTGCAAGGGGTTAAGAGGTAACCTACGAAGTTGTCCGTGGCCACTGCAGCACAAGTTGGATCCCTGGCCATCCAGGGAGCCATCCACATGGTGCAGCAGACCTCTCCTGTCTCGCCCACTGCTCCCCTCAGCAGTGTATTTCAGTCAATCCGCCTGTTCTGTTCCCCGCTCTGTCTCTGGAGAATCCTCTCACCCCCCACACCTCTGGCCTTGTACCCCAGTTCTTGTATGCATAAATAAATAAATCTTTAAAAAAAGACAGGGACAGATGGTAATGGGGTGGAGGGGAATCTGCGTCACTGAGAATCTGAGGGTCAGATTCTTTAGCTGAAATTTTGGCAGAAAAGCATACCTAGCATTAATGAAGTGTGGGAAAAAGGTGTAAGCATTTCACCCGCAGGGATCCATTT